TACTCTGGTGTTGTTAGCTTAGGTGCTAGTCTTGCTGAGTTGCCTATTGCTAGTGTAGGTACTTGTGTAGACTCTAGACCAGCGACTACCTCAGAGGACGCTTCGCTGTCGTTCACACTGGACTCTGGAGCCTCCCACTGCTTCTTTCGGGACAGCACGACACTTACACCACTTCCTGCGCCTGTTTCTGTAGCGTTGGCTGATCCCACTACGGGACCAGTCACTGCACGTCACACTACCACTTTACCGTGTCCTGCTGCTCCCTCCGGGTCTCTCACTGGGTTTCACGTCCCCTCGTTCTCCCGGAACTTGGTGGGCGTGCGACCCCTCGTGAGCCAGCACGTGGGTGTGTGGTTTGAGCCTTCTGGAGAGACTGCGGTGTGTGTTGACGGAGACTCTTACCAGCCTCTTGCTACCTTTACTGCTGAGCCGGGCTCGGGTCTCTACACTCTTCACACTGGCCCGCGTGCGCCGCAGCAGCAGCCGCAGCAGCAGCAGCAGCCGCAGCCGCAGCAGCAGCAGCAGCAGCAGCACCAGCGGCCGCACCAGCAGCCCCCCCTACAGCCACTGCCCCCGGTTCCCCCCCCCGTTCGGGTCCCCGCGTCTCACCAGGTTGCTACGTCCCCCCAGGTGTCTGTGTCGTGTCAGGTTCCTCCGTCTGTTCCGGTCGCTGCGTCGTGCTCCTGCCGGTCGCTTGCCCACCCCACCGTTCTGTGGCACCACCGGATGGGGCACCCGTCCCTTCCACGTCTGCGCGCTATGTCTAGTCAGCGTCTTGTCCTAGGCCTCCCACGTGTCTTGCCGTCGCTGCCGCCTTCGCCTGCGCCGCCGTGTCGTCCCTGCGTCGAGGGTAGGCTGCGCGCCACCCCTCACTCCTCCTCCCTTCGTCCGGCCACCGAGCCTTTTGAGACGCTTCACTTGGACGTCTGGGGCCCAGCCCCTCGTCTAGGCCCTGAGCGTGAGCGTTACTTTCTGGTGGTCGTTGACGACTTCTCCCGCTACACCACAGTGTTCCCTCTGGCGAAGAAGTCTGAGGTGACTTCTACGCTGATCAGGTGGTTGCTCACCACCGAGGACACTCGTGGTCGTCGTGTCAGCTGTCTCCACTCCGACCGTGGGGGTGAGTTTCGCTCCGGCATTCTCGCTGGATTCTGTCGCGAGCAGGGCATTCGTCAGTCCTGGACGCTTCCAGAGTCCCCACAGCAGAATGGGGTTGCTGAGCGCCGCATAGGCCTGGTCATGGAGATCGCCCGCACCTCCCTGACTCACGCCTGTGCCCCCCATTTTCTGTGGCCCTACGCGGTCAGGTACGCCGCGCACCAGCTGAACCTCTGGCCACGTGTCTCTCGACCAGAGGTTTCACCGACCAGTCTTTGGACAGGGTTCCCTGGTGTTGCGTCGCGGTTTCGTGTCTGGGGGTGCTTGGCTCTTGTCCGCGACACCTCCGCGGACAAGCTCTCGCCTCGTGCCGTCCCCTGTGTCTTCCTTGGTTTCCCTGAGGACTCCTCTGACTTCACCTTTTACCACCCTCCCTCTCACCGGTTCTTTGACTCCCGTGACGTCCGTTTCGAGGAGTCCACTCCGTACTACGTCAGGTACCCCAGTCGAGGTCTCCCGGTTCCTCCTCCCCCCCTCTTCCTGACTGCCGTTCCCCCTCCTGCTCCCCCGGTACAGCCTCCCCCACCTGGTCCAGCCCCGTCAGGTGTGTCCCAGGCTACCCCTCCTCCTTCGGTAGCCCCTCCGGTACAGCCTCCCTCCCCACAGTCCTCCTCGCAGCGTGCCGCTGGTGCTAGCTCTCGAGAGGTTGGTGCGGTGCCTGTTCCTGTACCGGTTTCTGGTTCTGGGGGTGCTGGAGTTGGAGCTGGAGTTGGAGCTGGAGTTGGCACTGGAGTTTCTGGTTCTGGGGGTGCTGGAGTTGGAGCTGGGGTTGGAGCTGGAGTTTCTGGTTCTGGAGTTGGAGCTGACCCGGTAGGTGCAGAGGACTCTTGTCGTCCGGGAGCTGGTGCTGGCCGCGCGGACACTGGGGGTGCTGCGTCTGGGGGTGAGGGTGCGCCTCCTTCGGGTTCAGGTGAGCCTGGTTCTGGAGCTGGTGTTAGTGCTGCCTCTGGGGGTGGTGCGCCTAGTTCTTCTGAGGTGGACTCTGGAGCTGCCGCTGCTTCGGACACTACTCCACCCCCCCACCCCTACCCGACTAGGCACCAGGCTCGTGTTCGCCGTGCCCGTGACGAGCAGCTGGCGTTGGAGAGAGAGGAGAGGGAGTTACAGCGGCTGGAGGAGCAGCAGCAGCAGCTGGAGCCGCAGGAGCAGCAGCAGCAGCAGCAGCAGCTGGACCCGCAGGAGCAGCAGTCCCAGCAGCAGCCGCGTCCGCAGCAGCAGCAGTCGCAGCCGCAGCAGCAGCAGCCACTTCCTCCTCCTGTCTCGGGTCTTCGGATCCTTGGTCTCCCCTCCCCTTCTCCTCCCTCCTCCGCCTCTCCTCCTGTCTACGGTCCCACGTTTCCTCCTCCTGACTCCTCCCCCGCTGTTTTCCCCAGTTCTCCGCCTTTGTCCTCTCCTCCTCCGTCTCGTTCTTGGGCTACTCGTCGCTCCCCTCGTGCTCGTCCCTCGTCTCCTGTTCCCTTCACTGACCTTCGTACTGCCTTCCTTCTTTCTAGTCCACCTCGTCCGTCTCAGTCTGTGCTTCCGTCTCCTCCTGAGTCGGCCCTCACTGTGTCGCTCCCTACTCCTGTCACTGACTACTACCGCACGTACCGTCCTGTTCTCTCTCGTGTTCTCGCCTCTCTTGTTACTCACCCTCGTGCCTCTGTGTCCTCTGTGTCCGCTCTTACTGCCGCAGTTACTGACTTTGCCTCTACCCGCCGCCTTGACTACGCCACCACGCTTGTGGCTGCTCCTCCTACCAGTCCTCTGGCCGTCGGGGGTGTGTCTGCCCTTGGCCGTGACGCCCTAGAGGACAGGCAGTTTGAGCTAGAGTTCCTGGCGGCCGCTTCCCCTCATCTCTGTGCCATGCTCCTCGCCCCTGAGGGTGACCCCGACGCCCTTGACATTCCGACTCCTCGCACTTACGCTGAGGCAGTGTCAGGGCCTTGGGCCTCTCAGTGGAGAGCTGCCATGGACGCAGAGATGGCCTCCTACAGATCCACAGGCACCTACGTCGATGAGGTTCCCCCCCCCGGGGGCGAACGTAGTCGACGGCATGTGGATCTACAGGGTGAAGCGGCCACCGGGATCTCCCCCGGTCTTCAAGGCGCGCTACGTGGCTAGAGGTTTCAGTCAGCGCGAGGGAGTTGACTTCTTTCAGACCTTCGCACCTACCCCGAAGATGACCACTCTTCGGGTGTTACTACACGTAGCAGCACAGAGAGACTACGAGTTACACTCTCTTGACTTCTCCACTGCTTTCCTTCAGGGCAGCCTACACGAGGAGGTCTGGTTGCGTCGTCCCTCGGCCTTCACTGGCACCTTCCCTCCTGGGACCCAGTGGAGGCTGAGGCGACCTGTTTACGGTCTTCGCCAGGCCCCTCGTGAGTGGCACGACACTCTGCGTTCTACCCTCTCTGACCTTGGGTTCCAGCCGTCTTCTGCCGACCCGTCGCTGTTCGTTCGTCGTGGCTCCACACCGTTCTTTGTTCTGGTTTACGTCGACGACCTCGTTTTCGCCACTCCGGACAGGGTTGCTTTGGCAGACGTGAAGTCCGAACTGCAGAAGAGACACACGTGCACTGATCTTGGTGAACTGCGCCACTACCTTGGCCTGCAGATCACCAGGGACAGAGCCGCTCGCACCATTACACTCTCACAGTCACACATGGTGCAGCAGGTCCTTCAGCGGTTCGGGCTTCAGCACTCCACCGTACAGCGCACACCTCTAGCTGTTGACCACAGACTCACTGGTCCCTTTCCTGACGAGCCGTTTGAGCCTAGTGGTCCCTACGCAGAGCTTGTGGGTTGCCTCATGTACCTGATGACTTGTACTCGCCCGGACCTCGCCTTCCCTCTCAGCATCCTTGCGCGCTTTGTTGCGCCAGGGAGACACCGTCCTGTTCACTGGACGGCAGCTGTGAGGGTGGCGAAGTACCTAGCGACTACATCAGGCGTGGGGCTAGTTCTTGGAGGGCAGCAGTCTGTCGTACTCACTGGTCACTGTGACTCCTCTTACGCTGACGACGCTGAGACTCACAGGTCTACTCAGGGGTACTGTTTCAGTCTGGGTTCTGGAGCTGTTTCCTGGCGTTCCACGCGCTCCTCTTCTGTCTCGACCTCTACAGCTGAGGCTGAGATTTACGCTGGTGCCATGGCGGCACAGGAGTTGCGGTGGTTGACCTTCTTGCTCACTGACCTTGGTGAGCGGCCGAGCTCTGCACCGACCTTGTTTACTGACAACAAGGCGTCGATCCTCCTCTGTCGTGAGCCGCGACTGGAGAGCAGAGTGAAGCACATTCACATCAGGTACTTTCTTCTGCGAGAGTTGCAGAGGCGTGGACAGGCTCGCTTCGAGTTCGTAGAGTCCGAGGCCAACACTGCAGACATCTTCACCAAGGCGCTTCCGCCTTGTGACCACCAGAGGTGTTGTGTGCAGTTAGGCCTTGTTGACACAGGTTCTAGTCATGCGTAGACTTGAGTTTATTGCCTGCTTCGTCTGTACATTTACTATATATACTTGTGATCTCTTGGACTGGCCTTGTGGCCACTGTTGCTTGTGCTCAGAGTGTGTGGTGACGTTGTGATCCACCCTGAGCTTTGTTTTCTTTTGGACTGGTCTTGTGACCGTACTCTTTTTTGTTTTTGCTAGACACCCCTCACTTAGGCTATGGGGGTGTGTCAAATGTTGTAGCCTGTAGTGAGGTTTGTCTTAGGGGGTACAGAAGTTAGGGTTTGTCATATGTACCCCAACCAACATCAATGCAACACTCATTCCTCATTCTGACATTCCCCCCTCCCTAATTGGCCGTCACTCCTCCCTCCCACCTCCTGTTAACCATCAGGGCGACAACGATGAGGATATGGACGATCCATCATCGCGCAACCAGGACACTCTCTTCGGCCGTAACCGCCCCTCATGGCACCCACATATTGCCTCCGCTCCGCGCCTCCAGACGCAGGCCACCTCTCAGGCAGCACCTTCATCGCGCACAGCCCCTCTTTCCCTCCTTGTTCCTTCCTCACTCTTCCATCCTTTCTGTGCCGTCCACTCTGTTCTCGTCTCCCTGCTTCTCGTAACATGGCACCCATCAGGGGGGCAATGACGAGGACACGGACGGCCCATCACGCAACTACTACACTCTTCGCTCAAGTGCCCACGCACACCGTCAACGGATACGTCATGTGCATCAAGGTGCGTTTGTGTGTGTTGATTGCACGGTGTGAATTGCACGGTGTGGATTGCACGGTGTGGATTGCACGGTATGAATCTCACAATACTTCTGTCGTGTCTTGCAGACAACGATATGCACATCTCTTCTCCACATGTCTTCCTGCATTTGAAGCCCTGTTTCTTCCTGCTCCCCTTCCACCACCCGTGATCCACCAGGGAGGCAAAGAAAAGGTCATGGACGGCCCATCGCGCAACCACATGCTCCTCAACTTCGCCTCCGTGCCTCCAGTCCAGACACGGGCCACCTCTCAGGCAGCTTCGCCTCGTGCCTTCATTGCACGCACAGCCAGTGGGGCTTCGAGGCCCGCTTCACTCTGCTGCACCTCGCCTCCTCCCTCGCCTCCTCCCTCGCCTCCTCCCTCGCCTCCTCCCTCGCCTCCTCCCTCGCCTCCTCCCTCGCCTCCTCCCTCGCCTCCTCCCTCGCCTCCTCCCTCGCCTCCTCCCTCGCCTCCTCCCTCGCCTCCTCCCTCGCCTCCTCCCTCGCCACGTGGTGCCGCTCTCATGGGTGCTTTGGCCCCGCCAGGCTCATGCTCAGAACGCAGGTAGGCGGGTGGGTTGGGTTTGGTTGCGGTGGGTTGGTTGCGGTGTTGAGAGCCACTGGGTTCGGTTGCAGTGGGTTGGTTGCGGTGTTGAGGGCCACTAGGTTCGGTTGCAGTGGGTTGGTTGCGGTGTTGAGGGCCACTTCACTCTGCTGCACCTCGCCTCCTCCCTCGCCACCTGGCGCCGCTCCCAAGGCTGCTTCGGCCGAATCTGTTTTTTGAGAATTCTATGCTAAATCCTTTTCCCGGAGAATCCCCAGAAAACAGATCCAGAATAAAATTCCCCTCCCCGATTTTGAGAATTCAAAAAAAGCAGAGTTCATGCTGTTTCATAATGGCATGCTCCGGATGCAGGTAGGTGGGTTGGGCGTGTGTATATGTGTGTCTGGAGGGGACTGTCCTTGTTTCACTCTGCTGCACCGCGTCTCCTCCCTCAGCCACCTGGCGCAGCTCCCACGGCTGCTTCGGCCCTGCGAGGCTTATGCTGTTCCACGATGGCATGTTCCACTATGGCATGTTCCACGATGGCCTGCTCCACGATGGCATGTTCCACGATGGCATGCTCCGGATGCAGGTGGATGGGTTGGGCGTGTGCTTTTGTGTGTCTGGAGGTGAGGATGACTGTCCTCTTTCACCCTGCTGCACCTCCACCCTCCTGCACCTCCACCCTGCTGCACCTCCACCCTCCTGCACCTCGCCTTCTCCCTCGCCACCTGCCGCCGCTCCCACAGCTGCTTCGGGCCTGGCAGGCTCATGCTGTTCCAGACGGGATGCTCAGGACGCAGGTGGACAGATGGGTTGGGTTGGGTTGGGATGGGTGATTGTACCATATGTGCCTTTGGACGGACGAAAGTCTGTTCCTAGAGCGTGTTCCCGTGGTTTCCCACGCCCATGTGCAGACCCACCCACGTGACGACTTTTGAGGCGCCTCAAAAGTTTTTCACTGGTTTCCCACGTTCATGCACGGACCCACCCACGCAGATATCAGTGTGGCCAGCAATCGGCTCAAGGCATGTCGGGGCGCGAGGCAGCGACTTTCAACACACAAGCCTTATCACCCCCTTCTCCTTCCCCCTCCCCCCACCCCCTCACTCCTCAACCACACAGATATCAGCGTGGGCTGGCAACCTCCTGAAGGCCGGCAACCTCCTGAAGGCTGGCAACCTCCTGAAGGCCGGCAACCTCCTGAAGGCTGGTAACCTCCTGAAGGCTGGTAACCTCCTGAAGGCTGGTAACCTCCTGAAGGCTGGTAACCTCCTGAAGGCCGGCAACCTCCTGAAGGCTGGTAACCTCCTGAAGGCTGGTAACCTCCTGAAGGCTGGTATCCTCCTGAAGGCTGGTAACCTCCTGAAGGCTGGTAACCTCCTGAAGGCTGGTAACCTCCTGAAGCCACTTTACCAACCTCCTGAAGGCAGTGTGGACTGTCAAATCGAACACCCTACCACCCCCTTTTTCCACCCCCCTCCGTCCACTTGCTCCCCAACCACTCAGATATCAGCGTGGGCCAGCAATCTCCTGAAGGCACTTTTTTTGTGGTGGGCGCTCTTAACCTACACACCCTACCCTCCTTCTCCTCCCTACCCATCTGCCGCTCCCCCACCGAGGTCAACCCACACACCCACGCCACGCGACTATCAGCGTGGGCCAGCAATCTGCTTAAGGCCGCACTGGGGCCGAAAGTAGATGCTTACTTGAGGTGGGGTGTCAACTCAAACACCCTACCACCCCTTTTCTCCCCTCTCTTCATCCTGAAACCACACAGGTATCAGCGTGGTCCAGCAATCTGTTCATGGCAGTGCTGCGGCCGGGAGCAGCGCCGCCATTTATACCGCCAGACAGGCTGACAACGCAGTGCCTGGAGAATGCGGTGGTGCTGCACTGCATTCTCCAGGCACCGCAGCGAGACACCGTCAACGCCAGTGATGCAGGCCATGCTCATCGCCCGCTACTCATATTCACTAACCTACTCCCTCTCCTCTCCCCTCCAGCCCCCACACACCTACTCCTGCTTTTCCCCTTCCCCCCTCCACTTTCCCCACATCCACAGATATCAGCGTGCGCCAGCAATCTACCTTTAAAGCAGTGCTGGGGCCGAAGGCAGCGCCGCCGGTCAAGCCACCGGACGGGGTCACACCGCAGTGCCTGGAGAACAGAGTGGTGCTATGGCAGCGAGATGGGATGGTTAGGAGCAGGTGGGGGGTTATGGGCAGGTGGGTTGGTGTGAGCAGGTGGGTTGGTGTGAGCAGGTGGGTTGGTGTGAGCAGGTGGGTTGGTGTGAGCAGGTGGGTTGGTGTGAGCAGGTGGGTTGGTGTGAGCAGGCGGGTTGGTGTGAGCAGGTGGGTTGGTGTGAGCAGGTGGGTTGGTGTGAGCAGGTGGGTTGGTGTGATCAGGTGGGTTGGTGTGAGCAGGTGGGTTGGTGTGAGCAGGTGGGTTGGTGTGAGCAGGTGGGTTGGTGTGATCAGGTGGGTTGGTGTGATCAGGTGGGTTGGTGTGAGCAGGTGGGTTGGTGTGAGCAGTTGGGTTGGTGTGAGCAGGTGGGTTGGTGTGAGCAGGTGGGCGGTGATTAAGAGGAGAGGCAGGTTGGGCAGGTTGCAAAGATAGTGGCGAGCCACTGGTGGGTGGTTCTGGGGAGGTGTGGGTTATGGGGAGGTGTGGGTTATGGGCAGGTGTGGGTTATGAAATAGAGACAAAGGTGGACATGGCAACGAAGGGCATACTGTAAAGGATGGACAGGGATGAGCAACATCTCGAGACAAGCTAACTTTTGAGTCGACTCATAAGTCACCTTGGACTTGGCAACGAAGGGCGTGCTGTAAAGGATGGACAAGGGTGAGAAAGAAAGCTTCTCGAGACGCTTGCTCTCAGCTTTCATGAGGTGAGACCCTCACCACACACTCTCCCTCTACACTCCCTCTACACTCCCTCTACACTCCCTCCCATCCCATCATCTCGCCTCCCCCACCAACACTTTCTCCGCCCCCTCAGATGCGCATGCACGTAGCAATGAAGGACGTGCTGTCGTGGGTGAGCAAGCACCTGGAGATGCATGAGATGAGAGTCACGTGATAAAAAAGGGAGTTCTTGAGACGTCTTTAAAAAAACTCACTTGTATCGCCTGCCACCTGTCGTAGGGCCCTCTAACACTGCCATCTGGAGATACACGAGACACTGCCACCTGGAGATACACGAGACACTGCCACCTGGAGATACACGAGACACTGCCACCTGGAGATACACGAGACACGCACGCCTCACTCCTGGTTGTCCCTTCCTCACCTCCTCCGCTCCCCCTCAGATGCGCATGCACGTGGCAACGAAGGACGTGCTGTCGTGGGTGAGCAAGCGTCCCAACGCACACATGCAAGCATAGCTCTCACACCGCACTCCACCGTTTGCCGCTGCTTTCCCCCCTCTGTTCCCCCCCTCAGATGCGCATGCACGTGGCAATGAAGGACGTGCTGTCGTGGGTGAGCAAGCACCTCGACGCACACATGCATGCATGAGCTATCACACTGCACTCCACCCCTTGCCCCTGCCTTGCAGGCCTTCCTTCCTTCTTGTCTTCCATCAGATGCGGTAATGAGAGGGGGAAAGAAGAGGAACAAGAGGGAGGGGGGAGTGCTGCCGTGGGTGAGCAAGCACCTGGAGACTCTGCGGCGGCAGCAGAAGGGAGGCGCGGAGGACGGCGATCCGACCTTCTCAGAGCCCTGTGTGCACCGCAACCTGCTGTACTGATCTCTGCACGATGGGGAAGAGGGGGAAGATGGGGGGCTGAATGAAGAGGGAGATAGGACGGCGGCCCACCTTCCTAGGGAGTCGTGTGTGCACCGCAACCTGCTGTACTGAGTGGGTGAGAAGCGGGGCAGATATTGAGTGAGCCCTGCAGCCCACATGAGTTAAGGGGGGAGGCGCAGAGGACGTTGCGCCCACCTTCCTAGGGAGTCATGTGTGCACCGCAACCTGCTCAACTGAGTGGGTGAGAAGCGCGGGGAAGCAAGGGAGGAGAGCGGGTTGGGTTGTTGGGGGGGGGGGAGGGGGTTGAGGGGGAACGGAGGGGAATCGAGCCCACCTTTTTAGAGTCCTGTGGACACCGCAACCTGCGGTACTGAGTGTGCAACGAGAAGGGGGAGAAGAGTGAGGGAAGGGGGAGGGGATGAGCCCACCTTCCTGGAGTCCTGCGCGCACCGCAACCTCCGGTACTGAGCCCTGTGCCCCTGAGTATGTGGATAATCATTGCAATATACGTAGCATCACACCCCACTTGTGCTGTGCACATCGAGGGTAGTGAAGTGGTGAAAGGGTGGAGAGTAGCAATGGATGGAGAGGTGCAGAATGTGTATATATAGCCTTCATACCAGTAATTTTCGCCCGTCAGCTGTTTGGAAGACTGTAGTGTCATAGATATGAATGCAGAAATTTGTATGATTTGGTAAATGATTGTAAACAGAAATCGTTCCGGAAATACATGCCATGCACAGTCTGCTTCCGGCATGGTCGATCTACTGCCATGTGTAGAAGCCTTGAGTTAAAAATTCGAAGTTGAAGACCAGTTTCTTGCATTGATGAAGAAATGAGCTCATAATTCATGTGTACAAGGACTCTAAGAACTAATCTGTATGTTATATACAGGTGCTTCGTGCTCTACTCTTCATCGTTGATAGACTTCCATGTACCGGGATTAATAGCCGCGACGAAGAAGAAGGCGATGCTCGCCAACAGCAGCGGCTCCAACTCGAAAATCGGCAACCCAGTCTCGATATTCAGCTGCGCCAAAGCGCCTCTTCCGGTGATCACCTCGCCGATCAAGCTCGCCGCAAACCCTAATGGCGCAACAAACAGCTCGTTCGCCTTGGTGAATCCGAACAGCGGCCCATCCTCGCTCAGCCCAAGCGCGGCTTTGAAACTTCCCGGCTTCACCGGCGGTCCCGCGGGCGCCTTGTCGTCGACGAATCGCCCACGGTCGCCCAGCCCGCCGATCGCGCCGAGCACGGTGAATGCGATGAAGAAGAGGAAGTTAAACTATCTACCTCCTTCTCCCTCTCTCGAAGACCCTCTCCCCACTCCACCAGGACTCACCACAACACCCGCAGTGGAGCCCTCTCCAAGTGCACCTGCTGGAGATACCACACCATCTCCACCTATACCTGAAAACAACACACCTTCTCATGAGCAGCAGCAGAGTCAACATGAGCCAAACCACACGTCACCGCCTCTCTTCACCGACGAGCCGTCTTCGCTCCAACCCTCGATGGAGCGGCCCTTAACGCGAAAGTCAACACCTGAGCAGCAGCCAGTTGCAGAGAAGCTGTCTTCAACCGTATCATCTACTTCTTCACCTCCAGTCAACACTTCAACCATTATCCCTGACGCAGCAGACAAGCCGCTTCAACCCGTTCAACCACCAAATGATGTTCCTGAGACAATCACTCTTTCAGCACCTCCAACCATCCCTAACGGTAACACGAGTCACGAAGGTATCACCGAGCATTCACTGCGTCCCAAACGAGCATGCAAGCCAGTGCAGCGCTTGAACCTCGCAGTCGGTGCATGCTTCCCAGTCACAGCCAAGTGTGCCGATCCTCACTGCATGGACTGCAAGGTAGTCGCCATGTGTCACGCCATCAGTTGCCTCCCACCTGAGCCATCCACTCGCAAACAAGCACTGGCAAGCGCTGAGAGGGCAGAGTGGGTAAAGGCAGAGAGAGAAGAGATTATCAGCCTCCTTGCACAAGGTACATGGGTCCTTGCACCACTCCCTCCTGGTAAGAGAGCACTAAAGGTTAAGTGGACATACCGAGTGAAAGTGAAGGGAGACGGTACACTGGACCGATTCAAGGCACGCCTGGTAGCCAAAGGTTTCTCACAGATGCTAGGCACGGACTACACAGAGACCTTCTCTGCCGTAGCCAAGTACACCACAGTCAGGTGCCTCCTGGTAATGGCCACAGTGAAGGATCTCCACATCCATCAAATGGATGTGAAGAACGCCTTTCTCTATGGTAAGCTCGACGAAGAGATCTACATGGTACAGCCCGAAGGTTACTCCGATGGTACCACCAACGTCTGCAGGCTGCTGAAGTCCCTCTATGGACTAAAGCAAGCACCACGAGTCTGGTTTCACACCCTTGAGGTATCACTCCTCACCCAAGGTTTCACCAAGTCACAGTTCGATGCAGCACTGTACATCCTACGCACAAGTGAGGGGGAGTCCTTGTGGCTCCTAGTCTATGTGGACGACATCCTCCTCGTGTCAGCATCCTTGAGTCTCCTCACACGCATCAAAGGTATGCTCACCCAAGACTTCATCATGACAGACATGGGTGAGCCCTCACACTACCTTGGTATGAACATCGTGAGGGACCGCACCACCAAGTCACTTTTCATCTCACAGCAGAGGTACACTGAGAAGGTCCTTTCAAGGTTTGGTCTCCTTAACTGCAACCCAGTTGAGACCCCACTCCCCTCGGACTTCATGCCAAGCTCACACGAGCAAAGCATTGACCCTTCCACTGTTGAATCAGAGGTCACTGAGCTTGAGGGTGAGGTCGAGAGCCTTGAGCCTCCTGAGGACATTGGTCATGACACCTATGCACCACAGTCCACGTCCCACATCACACCCCTTGAGCTCTCACTCTACCAGAGCCAAGTGGGCAGCCTTATGTACGCCTCCATCTGCACCCGTCCTGATCTTGCCCATACCGTTGCCATGCTCTCTCAATGCATGACATCACCTACTCGCATGCATCAGCGTGGGGCACTTCGTGCCCTGCGCTACCTCAAATCATCCTCTTCCTTTGGTCTCCTCTTTCAAGGGTTTGAGGGTGCAAGCATGCTGTATGGCTTCACGGATGCAAATTGGGCTGGGGATATCCCTACTCGCAGGTCCACTGGAGGATACATCTTCATGCTTGGAGGGGCAGCCATCTCTTGGCAGTCAAAGAAGCAGAGTTGTGTGGCTTTATCAACCACGGAGGCAGAGTACATGGCTGCGACCCAAGGAGCCCGAGAAGCAGTGTGGATGAGAGGCCTATTGAAGGAGCTTGACCTCCCACAAGAGAGCCCTACTCCCATCTTCATCGACAACACGTCGACGATCGCTCTCACCAAGAACCCAGTCTTCCATGGGAGGACCAAGCACATCGCGGCGCAGTACCACTACGTCCGGGAGCTTGTGGAGCAGAAAATCATTGAGCCCCTGTTTTGCCGCACGAGTGAGCAAGCGACGGATTTCCTCACCAAGGTCGTTGCACGCCACATCTTCATCAACAACCGAGTTCAAGCCGGGTTAGTCCCAGCAGTCGGATTTGAGGGTACGGGCTTGCAGTGAGGGGGAGTGTTGTGAATGGCATGCTCTTCATGTGCCACGCTACTGTGCCACTCCAACCCCTTCCCCTCAAAACACCCTCGACACATTTTCCCAAGAACCCATCCAAACCACTCAACTCTTCCAAAGCCTATTCCAACCACTCAAGTTACAAACTCCTTTTTTCCAACTCATCCTCTCCAACTCAAGCCTATCAACCACCTCTTTAACTACTCCCAACCACCATAGACTTTCCTAGTCCAACTCAACCAATATTCAAACCAACTTCCCATACTTATCCTCAAGTCCCACCATAAGGCACGTGACTCCTCATGATTTTCCATGTGCTTTCCTTTCCTACTCATCAAAATTTACCCAAGTCATCTACCTCCTCCAATTATCCTCCTCCCATGTGCCTTCAAGCACATGCTTCCACTTCCTAGCCATCAACCTCCACATGCCTCTCATTTATTCCTTCCTTCCTTCCTTTCCCAAGTCACCAAAGTTGCCACCTCATCCCTAAGGACTTCATGATTATCCCATCACCTCCTATTACAAGGCAACAAAGCTCATCATCTCCTCCACTCATCCTTATCCAACTCACTAAGCTCTCTTCCAACTCAACAAGGCTTACATCTCCAACTCATCAAGTGCTCAACCACCATCACATGCTCCAATACTATTCATCTACATGAAGCATCTCTACAACTTCTCAAGAAGGTTCTTCAATGACAACAATGCATTCCAAGCTTCTTCACCAAGCTCATTTCCAAGCTTCTCCTTCAAGCTCCTCTTCTACTACAAAGGCTCTGTCAGAGTATTATAACTGATGCATGTTTGTAGGCTATAGTGGGGTAGCACATATGGGGTACAGCTTTCTAGGGTTGTATTTGTACCCAACTCTGACTTAGTCATTTCATTCCTGTTCTCTTATCTTTCACATGGTATAGAGCGGGTCCTTCCTAAGGACCGTTTTTTTAGGGCCCACCGAAGCGCGCCCCGAGGCGCGCATTTTTTTTCGCGACCCTTCGGGTCGCCATTACTCTCGCGGCCCCGCTGTCCCTCTGACGCGGCCCCGCCACCCCTGCTTGACGCGGCCCCGCCGCCTCCTCTGCAGCGGCTCTGCCGCCTCCTCTGACGCGGCCCCGCCGCCCGCTGATCGCGGCCCCGCCGCCGGCTCTGACGCGGCCCCGCCGCCGGCTCTGACGCGGCCCCGCCGCCCGCTGATCGCGGCCCGCCGCTGGCCCTGACGCGGCCCCGCCGCCGGCTCTTAGCCGGCCTCGCCGCCGGCTCCAACGCGGCCCCGCCGCCCGCCTCGACGAGGCCCCGCCGCCGGCTCTGACGCGGCCCCGCCGCCGCCTCCTGATCGCGGCCCCGCCCCGGCTCTCTCGCGGCCTCGCCGCCGGCCCTGACGCGGCCCCGCCCCGGCTCT